GCAAGGTGAGGGGCGCCTTCCGGCGGAGGCAATGGAAGGACAGAGGGGCGTTTTTGAGGGGAGGAGTAATCTCGGGGATTTTCTTTGTGAGTCCTTCATGTATAGTTGAGCTTCGAACAGATGTTGGAACCTCCACAGGACGAGAGGCTAGCCTTCCCTCCCTCCCTCTCTTTTCGTGGGGGTAGAAGGGGTTCCCTCTGCCGTTTGTGTTGAGTTAAATTTCTCTATCTTAGAAAATTTGTTGAATCTCTCAAAAGTTGGCCGCTGGGTGCAGGGGTTGGGGGGTGCACGGTTGGGTGAAACGCGTCCTGTGGTGAAGGGGCTAGCCAGCAGGATAGAGATAGGACATAGCAGTGGTGGAGATGGTGGCTCTATCATGGTAAGTCGAGAGGGATAAATGGATTGGTGCAACCAGGGCCTGGAGGAGATGGAGGTATCGAAACTACTGTTGTGATGATGATTGGTGGCTCGACTGTTGCCTGCTGATGCCCACAGTCCCAGAGGTTTGCGAATGGACGGGGCCAGAACGATGCTGGTCGGCGCTGGGGTTTGGTTGTGCTGCCCTGTAACTCGAGCTGTACGGGGGCAAGAGGCCTGGTAGAGAGATCTGAGGAGATGTCGAGGGCGGAAGGCACTTTACTGTCTGTTGGCAAGCTAGTACTCAGACGATGCTGGCCGGAGCTGGGGTGGATCGCTTCACCCTGTAGCCCAGCAGGCGGGGGATTGTTCTGGAGTGGGTCGTGCCACTCTGTAACCTAGCAGTTGGGGGTGTGAGGTCTCTGGTAGAGACTGGGTATTGAGGATATGGGAGGATGAGGAAGGTTTCATGTTGGGCTGCTGAATCTCACCAAGGCAGTTTGGTCTCGGGCTGAAAGCTCCTATGGATAGAAGGCTTGAGTTTTTTTTCTATAGCTCCTCTGAGTCATGATTTTTGCTTGAATTTTTCTGAGAATTTCTAGTACTTGAATTCATAGTCGAAGCCGGGTAATGGCCCCGGTAACTGATATGTTGTAAGATTCTGATGGGACGCTGGGCCCTAGTTCCCAGCATGTGCTGCTCCCTACGAATAGACTGGAGCAATTGCCCTTAAAAAAAAAAAAAAATTGCCACATATATCATTATTGTTGTCAATCATCTGCCATGGATTATCAGATCAACTGGCATGCTCTTCCCCCTGCCATTTCACCAAGCAGAGATCTGAGTATCCCCTATTGACTATCCTATCTCCTACCCTCCCCCTATCCACCACCCAATCAACTAGCCTTCCTCTCGCCCATCTCCATTTTGCCGCCCACCCAGTGTCAGACCAGGAAATATGACAGGCGAGGCAGGCAACAGAGAGTGAAAACAGGGGGAAACTACATATCGAGGAGAGGCCCAGGCAGGTAATGTTTACGAAAGAGTGAAGCAATCAAAACACATCCCAAACCCACCGAACCCATCCTTCCCCCCGGTGAACTGCCTGAGCCCCTGTTATGGAGTGGTGCATACCATTCATATGAAAGGAATCGAGCTCCAGCGCTTCCATCATGTATCCTGACCACGGTGCTATCTACTTGGATAGTGGGTAAGTCCCACTGTTTGGAAGTGACTGTGGTGCCATCACTTTCTTATCTATCGGTTAAAAAACTAGAAGCTGTTTCACACTACCGCCCCAGTCCATAGGGGGACCCTTGGTGGCTAGGAAACAACAACATACTAGAATCTGAAAAAAACTAATCAGAAAAAAAAATGCGAGGAATGAGCCCTTGCAGGGCCCTTATCAGACATGCACGTGTTCTGGGCTGAGGCCCCAGCAAGCCCTCTGCCCGCCCTAAGTGAAGGCGGGCCTGAATATCCACTTGTGGCCTATTTTCGACAGTTTCCATATGGGGGTACTCAGACAGTTGCAGCATGCCAGTTGGTTACAAAGAAACGTGAACCTTCAGGCTCCTTCCAGAAACAAGGGCTGCGCTGTACAGTTGAGCCCAGGGCCGGATGGTTGCGCCCTGGGCACACACAGTATGAGGCCGACACATCACGCAGCGGCCACGGACAAACGAGAAAGCAGCATTGCCGTCACACAGGGACCACGAGCCAATGAGAATGCGGCAAACACTTGAGCCTGGATGTCGGCCTGCATGAGACCAACTGTAAAGGGCCCAGGCCCGTAACAGCAAAGGAGGGCCTGGGCGCAGACACTGGGGCCCACTGGAAGCTACTGGAAACTTCCTCAGCCCGTCGCATGCAGCCAAAGGAAGGCTGCACTTTCCATAAAGGAAAGTGCCCTGGCCTGGGGAAGGCATTCTGGCCTTTGCAGGCAATGCGGACACGCTGCTGCACTGTCTGCATGGGCGCAGAGGTGAAAGAGGGCTCTGCTGGAGCAGCGGGCGCACAGCAGCCATAGCTGGGCAGCTGGGGCACAGGCAGGTGATGGCGAAGGTGGTCTTCGAGTAGGAGGCGCATGATGTGGGGAGACGAGGGGTGATGAGTGGAGAGAGAGAACGTACCTGGTGTATGTTGGTGGTCGGCATTGGTGTTGACATCACATACATTGGTCTTCGACTTCAGTGTGATCTAGTCGCATGAACGTAGATAGCGTAGATAGGTTGAGTAGAGTAGAATGGGCGCTGAGCCCCGAACTGTAGGGGCGACATTGGATACAGTGTTGGTGTGACCAGAGAGCGTCGGCATTGGCACTCGAGTTCTTTGTATTGCTCTTATTTGGATGGTATCTTGGTGTATTTGAGCTCTCTGCTTAGTACATGACTATCTGGACTACTTCGTGATTTTGTAACTTGGTTTCCTGTCTACCGCTCTCGCTCATATTCCTTGCAATTTGGTACCAGAGCTGGTTCGAGTTCGCCGTTACTGGTGCTGGCGGCATTGTTACTTGGTGCGCTGATGAAGCTTCTACGCGGTGAGAGGATACATTGGCGCTGGGATTATTTACCACTCCCGGGTAGTGGGGAGTCTGGCAGGAAGGCTGTGGCACAGCATGAGAGCTGTGGCGACGTCCGCTGTGTGTGGAATGATGAGAGCATGTGGACATGCATTTTGGCTGAGGTAGCACTGCATTGTATTGTGGGTCGTACGGACACTATGACCGAGCATCAAAATGCACATCGGCTCAATTGGTGAGAAATCTGTGGTTGGGGGCAACTATCTTCAGGTACGTTTTTCCCTCACGTTATCTTCCCATCTCAATCTCTTCTTACCGTGAAGAAGTGAGTCCAACTTGAGTGTCATCTGTTGATTCAGGAGTCGTGAGCGCTCTACCTTGAGAGTCGACATTCTTCCTGGCATCTGGAAGGAGAGGGCAGTGCCTCTGAAGGGCCCTGGTCGAAGCACGGGTCACGGTCACCATGCCAACCCATGGGAGTAGAGCACGCATGCTTTGCTGCTTTGTCCTTTAAGCTCTTGCTGCGATATAGAGGGAAGGTGGACTGACTAGTCCTATGCAAGACATCCACCAGACCATCTATAAATTTATTTCTGGCGAGATCTGATCTGAATACTGACTGTGATCGTCGTCCTGTCTGCGACGTTAAATAAGTCCTGAGGACCTTGGGGGCTGTTGTTAAACTGCCTCTTGATCAGCCAGATCAGTCAGATGTAAGGCTCGTTGCACGCGAGGATAAATAACGGGTAGTGCTTGTCATAAGCGGGTTCCTGGGGCACAGGGGTGCGCCGTTCTGCACACGACAGACACTGCTGCTTGATGATGCAGTCAGGATCGTTGGATACAGGGGAAGGGAAGGCTCCAATTGGTGCTTGTAGAACAAACACACTTATTTCCATTTCCGCATACATCTGTGCACTTGATCTATTTTTATTTTGATTAGTTGAGGTGTGACCGACTGCGAACACCTAACAAACATTATTAGATTAGAACTGTAGTAGTCTACCATTGCCAGTTCACTATGATGCTGTTGTAGAAGAACTGATCGAAGTAGGATTAGATCACTTGGTTAGTTTATGTAAATGCTGTTGACACCACTTGAACGGGAGCCTGGTTGACTTGCCGAATATTTATTATTTTATTTTATTTTACGATTCGGTCAGACACATGCTATGGTAGGGTGATGGCGAAGGTGGTCTTCGGGTAGGAGGCGCATGATGTGGAGAGACGAGGGGTGATGAGGGGAGAGAGAGAACGGACCTGGTGTATGCTGGTGGTCAGCATTGGTGTTGACATCACGTACATTGGTCTTCGACTTCAGTGTGATCCAGTCGCATGAACGTAGATAGCGTAGATAGGCTGAGTAGAGAGGGCTGGGCGCTGAGCGCCAGACTGTAGGGGCGACACTGGATACAGTGTTGGCGTGACCAGAGAGCGTCGACATTGGCAATCGAGTTCTTTGTATTGCTCTTATTTGGATTATATCTTGGTGCATTTGAGCTCTCTTGGCACATACATGACTATCTGGACTACTTCGTGATTTTGAAACTTGGTTTTCTGTATATCGCTCTCGCTCATATTCCTTGCAAAAAAAAAATAAAAAATCCAAAGATCGGCTGTTATCTAAAACCCTTCAGCCTGTAAAACAAAAAAAAAAAAACAGACGGCATTTTGTCAGAAATTGCAGAAATTCCGGACAGCGATTTGTGCGCGTACTTGCAGTTTGTTTGTTTGATCATTTTTAATTGTTTCCTTACCATGTTGGCATGTTTCCTTCTTTTTTTCCTTTTTTTTTTCCACACACACAAAACACACATGCCCCATCTTTTCTGGGGGCAATGGGGCATGCATCCACCAGCAAGCATTGTGAACAACAAGAACATTAATGTGGACCGTCTGAAGTGGTCTGGTTCCTTACGATGTTTCTCCCTTTTTTTTCCTTTTTTTCTTTTAAAATTTAAATGGCGACAGCCTCGAGATATCACCTTCAAAAACTGACTGGCCCTGGGTAATTCAGGAATTCTGTTAATCTGGTTCCATCTGGGTTCGAACTCAGGTCTGCATTTCAACAGTTAGTTTATGGGTGTTACCAACTGAGCGAAGCCCGTTGGTTCCTTACCGTGTTTCATAAGGGTGGTGACCTCTGCCTTTCTGAAAGCATCCGCATACAGTCTTGCCCAAGTGGGTGGGTGGCCGACAAACGACCGTGCCAGGTAATCAAAGTAGGCGTAAATCCCAAGCAAAGGGTCAGCTAACCCGATGTTCCGGGCGATGCCATTTACCAGTTCGGCGAGCTTTGTCATGTTTGCAAAAGTTGCTTCGTCTTGAATGTCCACGCCATAAAGGAAAACCGACACAGGTCTGCCCGTGATGCTAAGGCTCCTCTTGTTATGCTCTGCTATAACACTGGCTGCGGCGTCAACATTGATAGGTCCTTGCGTAAACACAAGTAGCACCTGTTGGAAAAGATTACAATACAGGAATGCCTATTAGCTATGTAAAACAGAGGAAAAACAACGCTGGACCCGTTTTCCAGGAGGTGCCGCTCCCCACCGATGGAACGGAGCCATCCAAAAATGGGTAAAGTAGCGGGGCTGTCTGCTCTTATCAGCACCCCTCCCCACACCCGTTGTCGATGTTTCAAAAAAATAAATAAAAAGATCAAATATATGTAGGAAACAACACCCCGGGCTCTTTGTAAAAAAAATAAAAGGAAACACCACCCCTAGATTATGACGTAGATCAGTGGTTGGAAATGAGGAATTGGTGTCAGTGGGACCATGGCCTGGCTTTGAACAAAACAGATACCAGTTGCTGTAATTATTGTGTAGTAGTGTGAGTACCAAAATTGAAAATCCCATCAATTGATTAGTTTGAAATTTTCCCAAATAGGCAAGTACTGTGGATTTCAAATGCCCTATGTCAACCTGAGCTTTGTCTGGATGGCACACATGGTTAATGGGGTTAGCCATGTAAAACACTGAAAGCATGATTTGGGGCCCAAGTTTTTAAATGGCATGAGAAATTTCCTGAAAATTCAGGCCTTCTTCTGTCTTGGATGGTTCACATACCGCTTGGCGTTGAACAAAAGATACCAGTTACTGTGCTTAACTAGTAGTAATAAGTCTAGCCTACTACTTTGATGAAAAGGGGGGGAAAAAAAAAGAAAAAAAAAAGAAAAAATAGGAAAAAAAATGAAAAAAATGAAAAAAATGAGAACAATGAAAAAAAGGGAAAAAAAGAAAAAAAAAAAAGGAAAAAAAGGAAAAAAAAGGAAAAAAAAGGAAAAAAAAGGAAAAAAAAGGAAAAAAAAGGAAAAAAAAGGAAAGGAAAAAAAAGGGAAAAAAAAGGAAAAAAAGAAAAAAAAAAAAGAAACGAACTTTGCTGCTGCCCCGTACCGCAAGATGTTCCTTGGAGTGCCTAGTCAATGGATCGAGAGCTGCACGAACACCCTCAGCGAAGTCTCCAATTGGGGAGCTTGGATCCAGCTGCAAGCGGAGCACAGAGGCCTCCCCAAAAGTGCTGGTCCTGAACCGTATCTGCAGAAGGAGCCACACATTTGCCAGTCCATCCATGGCAATGATCGCATTAGGATATATAAGGGAAAAAAGGAGAAAGGAAAAGAAAAAGGAGAAGGCACAAGGCTGCATAGCACATTACATCTCACATCATGGAATCAGTTTAGGGTAGGGTTTGTATGATGATTGGTGTAGGCTACTTGGGCCTCAAACCGCTGACATCTCTGTATGTAGTACCGGGTACTTGGGGCTCAAACCGGTATTCAGTATGTTTTTTGATGGTTTAATCTGCGTAGGTAATGTAGGACTAGGTCGGTATCACTCTTTTTTTTTTTTTTTTTTTTTTTTTTTTTTGGTTCGATAGTTACTGGACTAATATGTGTGGGCTGACCCTCGAACCTGCGACTTGGTGAATAGTTAGGCCTGATATGAGCTGTGTGGTACAGGATGATCTTTGAGAATGCCTGCGTACTGATACTGTGTTTTGAAATGTGTTTGTAGCTTAGCGCCTTTTGGCAACGGTGCGGTATAGGGAGTTAACTACAGTAAGTACAGATGAGGACGACATCTTTGGTTATCGCGCTGTTCGCGACCCCTGGCATTCCGGAATGCTGGCGAAAGCGGGAGCGCTGAGGGTTTGTGGAAGGAACGACGGATCACGGGGTTGTGGTTGTTGATGTGGATCTACGGGTCTTGTTTGTACTTTGTCAATTCAAGTTTTCAAACTGTGTTAATTGACTTCTCTGCATTTTTGACGTTGAGTTCATTGTGACTTCACTATACTGTCAATTGCACGTGTGAACTATTTCGGAGTAACTTGCTGAGATTAGCACGGTTGGACATCGATACGGATATTGTCGAGGAGACTGGAGACTGGACTTAGCTGCTGTTGGTGATTGAAGATTCGGCGTTAAGATGTCAAATTACGGTGACTCAAGAGACTGTGGCGGCGATCATGGAGACTATGGAAGAAATGACCGTGGTGGATATGACTGGGACCAAGGGGATGACCGACGTCACGGCGACGTGACTACGGAGGAGGCGACCGTGACGGTGACCGTGGAGCAAGGCGTGCACCCCTCACATGCTTTACTTGTGGGGAACCTGGACATTATGCTAATCAAAATCCTCATCCGAGAAAACTGTGGAATGCCAGACCATCGACGTCGATGGATTCATGGCATAGGAGATCGTCTTCTCCATATCGGCATAACTGAGAGCTCACCAAACGCTGGTCGTCCTGTGACCCTATCGAGGCGAAGGTGGCGGAAATTGGGCAGAGTGTGGCCGCCGTGTGCCAATATGTGGAGAAAAAACAAATGAAGAAGGCTACAAGGAGTGGCGGAGGGATGAACGACTAGAGGCCCAAGAACGTGCAGAAGCCGAACGGTTGGCACAAGAGAAGAAGCGGAAGAAGAAAGTTGAGAAGAAGCGTTAAGGAAGTAGAGTTTGTGGAGTAGATAAAAAAGAACATGGATGTTCAGGTCGCGGTCCGTTTCGGCGAGCTACGGGAAGACGTTCAAGAGGACGTCCGCGCGGAGATTCGGCAAGTCATCTGGTGGCAAGCCGAGCCAAACAGAAGATTGTGGAAGGTGACCTTGACTCAGACACGGGGAGTCGCGCAGGCAGCAGCGAAACAGAAGAGCACTTGTACAAGAAACCTGTGTATCTCCGAAAAGCGGAAGGGCGGTCCGGAGCCAGTGTTTGAGGATAGCCCACCGATGGAGTTACCCCTAAGCGCACTCTGAAGAAGCCGGTCGTTAAACTGGTCAAGTTGACATCTAGGATGACACGGGCAAAGGTCAAGTGCATGACGAACGCTACTCCTAATAAGAAGGCGACTCCGGAGTCGATGAAGAAGAAGATCCCGGCAACCATCGGTGTTGTCGGAAGACTGAAGTACGAGAAGCTGCAGGAGTTAAAGAATCTCAATGCACTGGTCCTTCAGAACATGTGCAAGGACGAGGGTATCGAGTATAACGGGAAGTTTGAGGCTATATTTGACATAGCTGCACATCGTACCCGTATTGCCTATGGAACTGAGGAGGAGGGGGAGGCGGGAACCTCGTAGGATACAAGTTTCGTGGAAGCTGCGGAAGGTGCCGAAAAAAGTTCAAAAAACTGATGTGGAGTGAAGAGTGTTTAGCATCCTTGAGCTTTGGTTGATCGTTGACTGTCTGACTGAATGGAGATTGCTAAGTAAGAAACTTGATGCGGGCGTGGAGGAGTTACTCTGCCTGGTGACTGTACGACTCTCGTTACCTGGCGAGATACGATGGACACAGAAGTGCATTGGAGCCTGACATAGGCTGTATGAGATCTACTAAACCGAATTCGTCAATATCGCCGGTTGTGTATATGTGGCAGTTTCACCATACTACAAGTCACAGTATGTAGGGAACACCTGCATGCATGTCGTACGCGAAGCCCTTGTCACTTTTATCGATGGATGAGTGCGTTTGGAGTTGTTAAGTATATGCTGGTACCAGTTGATTCGTCAGTCAACGATGAGTTGACTAAGTTGGAGGACGTATATATCCGGTAGTGGTCCCCTTATCTAAACACCTCCGGGGTTAGAAAAGGGAAAACTCGAAATACGAAGAAGGCTAACAACGGGAGGAAGGAGAGGGATAGATGCACGGATGGACTATCGTACGATTGCACCTATTCATTTTCGGTTGAACACTAGTGAGGCGTGGCAGTTGGATCTATTTGCAATTCTTAAGAGACAGGGAGAGTTGGGCATAGCTAACTTTGATGTGTATACCAGCAGTGGTAGTATTCGGTCGGTTCCGTGGAAGGAGATTGCGCGAGCATTTGGTGAGTCATCTTTGTCAGTTGATGGATCAAGTCGGTCACTGAAGGAGGGTAAAGCTTGTTTTGAGAATGGGGGTCGTGTGTGTATCCAGAACTTGAGAGTTTGGAAACCTCAGTGTCGCTATCTGAAGAATGTACTTGTTGGCTTGCTTAAGAACCCACATAATCTTTGTACGCTGTATGATTGGGGCATGCATTTGCTACTTCGTTTGTATCATGTAGTGAAAGATTTCAGTCGCAAGTCAACTCGGAAATATCTCCGACGCTTGGTTTCTAGAGTCTTCTTGGATAAATTTGACCTCAGTCTCAGTGCGGATCTGTTGATCAAAGTTAAGTTTGATAATAGGATTAAGCTATCTGAACTGCGTGAGGTCGTGAATGATGCATTAATGGAGTGTGATCTGCCTATTTTCTTCTTGCAACGTGCACGTAAGAAAACCCAAATTGTCTGCCAGAAGAACCAGTCAGTTGCGGGAATATTGCACAACCATCGAGTGTTCGGTACTCGACATGTGCTGACCTGTCAGTGTACAGAGAGTACCCTATCCAAGAATGGATGGGCAAGTGCACTTTCACCTCAATGCAAATATGGTGGATCACCCTCTATTAGCGAATGCTAATAACATTCCTAAGGGTCAGACTGGTGATCGGCGAAAGCGTTGCAGGAAGAAATTGCCGGCGGGTTTCAAGGGTGGAGAAACTTTAGAGGGAAGGTGCCACGACTTTCTTTGGAATCGCTGTCAATGTGTATGATGGAACCATGTCAGGCTTCGTCCTCCTACTTGCCTTTGTCAGTTGTGGATGAAACCAAGAGGCATTTTGATGGATTGGTCCTTGCACCACTGGATTGTAATCCAGGAGAGACAGTTGTCATGTGTCCAAAAGTGTACTATGAGGTCATGATGGATATGTTCATTCATAGCTCAGGTTACAGGGTTATGTCTGTTACTGAATCAGTTGTTCTGAGGGTGAAGCAGCAGGTTTGAAGGGATTTGCCAAGTGTGATAAGCACGGACGAGTTGGATCGGCATATATTATGTCGAAGCATACCCACCCATCTGCCCCACCTTCATGGAGCCAATGGTCTGTACGGGGAGAGCTGTCGCGAAGGGACTGAACCTGATGCTATTCAGGCTCCCTGTGAATGATCACTTCAATCTACAGGCTGTGTCTCATCTGACGGCCCGATTTGATTCAATTAATCAGAAGATTCGGCGTCTGGGATATGTGCGGAAGACAACTGTACATTCCTTCGATATTAAGGACACGTTCAGTCGCCCCTCCCGCATAAGGACATTGTTTGTGCTCTCGACTGGATTCTGGAATTTCATACTAGCAAAGGAAGAGATTTCGTGCGTGTTAATACACGCGGCAGAGGGGCTTCGTTCGGTCGTACCACAGGCGGTGACCATTGGCAAATGCTGAAATTTGTTGACCTGGCTAAGTTTGTGAAGATTGATCTGCGACACACCTACACTCATGCTACGGGTGTGTTAATCAGGCAGGAATTAGGCATTCCAATGGATGATGTTATTATGATCACAGTGTCGTTGGCAGGTGAAGGGATGGGGTAGGTTTTCAATGATTTCGAGACATGTTACCCAAGAAACTTATCCTTGAAGAGAGCGGATAATGGATCCGGATTCCGGAGTGATGGAATTCCTGGGATGTGAAGTCAGATGCTCACGGTCCTATCCGAACCTGGGATGTATCCAGATATTACCGGCATAGAATCGATCGGAATACTCCGACTCAGAGTGAGATCCTGGGTCGTGTTCTATCATTGAAGTGTGAGTTGAGGATCAAGGAGTTCCCAAAGGACTTCTTCGGGAGGATTCTGTGACGATTCGCCTATTGGAGAGACGAGGTTTGGAAACATGCGGTAATTCTGGCTAGCATACTATATTGGGACAGGGTATCTTGACAATGAGGGTGCATGGCACCAGTGTATTGGGACAGGGTATTCTGACAATGAGGGTGCATGGAATCAGTGTAGGTTAGGGTTTGTATGATGATTGATGTAGGGTACTTGGGCCTCGAACCGGTGACATGTCTACATGTAGTACCGGGTACTTGGGCCCCAAACCGGGTATCAGTATGTTTGTTGATGGTTTTATCTGCGTCGGTATTGTAGGACTAGGCTGGTATCACGCCTGGTCCGATAGTTACCGAAGTAATATGTGTGGGCTGACCTTTGAACCTGCGACTTGGTGAATAGTTAGGCCTGATATGAGCTGTGTGGTACCAGGATGATCTTCGAGACTGCCTGGCATACCGATACTGTGTTTTGAAGTGTGTTTGTAGCTCAGGGCCATTTGGCAACCGTGCGGTATAGGGAGTTACTTTAACTACAGTAAGTATAGATGAGGAAGACATCTTTGGTTAGCGCGATATTAGCAACCCCTGGCATTCCGGAATGCTGGTGGAAGCGGGAGCGCCGAGGGTTTGTGGAAGGAACGGCGAATCACGGGGTTGTGGTTGTTGATGTGGATCTACGGGTCTTGTTTGTACTTTGTCAATTCAAGTTTTTGAACTGTGTTAATTGCCTTCTCTGCGTTTTTGAAGTTGAGTTCATTGTGACTTCACTATACTGCATAGCACTGTGTATGCATACGCGGCACGTATGTGTGTGCGTAGCACTGTGCATGTGCGTGTGTGTGTGTGTGGTCAGGGTGGGTACGTGTGTGTGTGTGTGTGTGTGTGTGTGTGTGTGTGTGTGTGTGTGTGTGTG